ACAGATTTTGACCTGAAATGTGATGTGGTAGTAGCTGAGAGTCATCACCCACACATAGGACATATTCTACATACAAACAATAGGGTTAGCATCAATAGGGTTCCTGTTCACAGCACACTATAGTCAGGAAGACAGAAAAGCAGAGCAGAAAGTAAGCCTCAAACAAGCAGTGACTGTAAAAACTGTAAGTCACATAGAAATAATGTAAGTAGCTGAAGCACCTGGGTCCCAAAGCTGTAAAGTTTAACCTTTCAGCAGTTTATCATATAAGAGATTTACAAGTTAAAAAGACCCTTCACTTGCAGTTTTGAAAAGAAAAGTCAGAGCTTGAATACAGTGGAAGTCAAAGGGGGGGTTTTACTTGTGGTACTCTGGGGATTAGAGAGAAAACCTTGAGTCCTAAAGCAATGAGACACTGAGTGGAAGAAGTAAACGATGCTGTGTTTGATGCATAAACTGTAAAAGAGGTTTGAAGGAGTAAAAATAGTTTGAAAGACATCTCACATGTGTGTGACACAGGAAGTTAAACACTTTGAGGTAAAATCTTAAAAAATACGAAAAGCAAACCTTTAATGTTAAAAAAGGATCAACATCCCAGTTCTGGTAGTCTGACTTTCGGACCTGTTTAACCTTAGAATGAGGCTTTTCTACTCTGATGTATGCCTGACAGGGATACCCTGGAAATCAAAGAAAACCTGGAAAATGACTTTCACATTTTCCAGACAGGGAACACTCAGGGAATTTGAACTCTGATCTGCTGATTAAAATATGATCTTCCTCAGATTTTAATGTGTACATTCTAGCATTCTTGTATCACTGAGTCCATGTTCTACTTCTGCGGTGTACACAGTACATCTCTACTGGTTGTCTACAGTGGCTTGTCAGTATCTAATGTTATGCAGTATATTTAATTATTAGGAGTGATTGTATGCATGCACTGCAGGCATGCTTCCTGTCATCTCTGAGTGTGACTGCATGCCAAAGACACTAAGGTCTGAGCGTTTTGTGTGACTGAAATATCTTCTGGAATTCCAGGGAAAACTCTGGGAATTTTGTTTTCATGAAATTCTGGGAACCCTGTACAAGTTACATTATGGGTTTTGGTTTCACTGAGCCATCCTAAGATTATCAATGGCCCCCGTCTGACGTTTTAGAGTGGACAGGTTTATTTTCTAACATTCAGAGGAATGACAGAATTCCATCTTTGTGTCTCAGTGAACTGTAGAAAGCCAGACGTCGACTACAATGGAGCCGTGTACGGTAATGACTGGTGGGTGGGCTCTGTGGTGAGGTACACTTGTCGCGCCGGCTTCATGCTCATAGGAAACCCCACGCGAACTTGCCAGGCTAACGGTCTTTGGACCCCCAAACCCACCTGCCTCAGTGAGTACACCCAACCGTTGTGGCATACATGAGAAAAAAAACAGAATTTATTTAGTCAGCTGATATCTCCTGCCTTCTAGGGATGTGTCAGAGGGGTCGCATTGAAATCAGCGAGAGGGAGCTGAACGGGACGTGCAACTCCACCTGTGCAGGTAAGGGCTACTCCGGCCCTCTTAAACTCGGCTGCTCCCGGATAGACAACTGCAAGAAGAAAGACACCGGCTGGAAGCGGTTCTTTGCGCAGTGCGTCCCGTGCATCTGTGACTGCGCTTTGTCATGCAGTGAGTCGTTTTCCCAACACACAGGCATTAAGATTGGTAAACGAGTGTTAACCTGTCGCAAGTTTTCTCTCATCTGTTGCTTTGAACACGAAGTCCTTCTGTGCAAAACTTTTGAGGCTTTTGTTTATTTGCTTTTTTAGCATCTGCAGGCTAAGAGGGGGACAGGTGTGGCCTGCAGAGAGAGACTTCTGACAGAAGACAAAGATTCAAGGTTCTTTACTGTCATTTTCATCACATGTGGTACATGAGGGGGAACGAAATTGTGTACTCAAGGTCCCAGTTACACCCAGCAACAAGAAGAATATAAATTGTAAAAGAAACAGTAATAAGGATGTAAACTAAGAAATACGTTAAACTAAGAGTGCGATAAAAAGAAACGATTCGCCGAACAACAGCAGCACGAACGAGTCTGTGTGAGTGGATGAGTACGAATGAATACAGCAGCATGAAATAATCAGCAGCATGAGATCAGCAGGACATATCAATCAAAATGGCATTAGAGTGATTTCTTTATCTTTTCAGTGATTATTCTGGTTAGTGATTCATGAGTCTAACAGCTTCAGGGTAGAAGCTGTTCCTCAGTCAAGTGGTTCTGCACTTAATGCTCCTCAACCTCCTTCCTGAGGGGAGTGGGGCAAAAAGTGTGTGTGCTGGGTGAGTGGGGTCCTTCATGATGCAGGTGGCCCTCTTCCTGCATCTGGAGGTGCAGATGTCTGTGATGGTGGGGAGGCTGACTCCAACAGACTTCTGTGCAGCTGTGGACTAACATCTGGCTGTTGTGATACAGTTTTCACCTTCTTTTTCAATTTTAATTTTTTACACCAAAGCCAACATTTTCCTGCTGCTTCAATATAAAGGAGTACACACCCTAACACAAAGATAAATCTATATCTGAGACAACATAAAAAATAAAATATATGGTTATTTCAATATTTTTTGTTGTTTAAATGCACCTAATCTAGTTTCAGGTTTCTAAATATATCACCAGAATTGACTAAGTGTATGTGTTTGAAAAGAGAGGACATTTGAAATGATGCTGAGAGTGGAAAAAAAAAGGAGAAATAAAAACAGAGATTAGCATCTCAGCTTTGTTGCTGCTCCTCCTCTTAAAGCTAAAACTTTAATCTTGTTACACAGGACATCTCTGCGTGGACCGGTGCAGCTTGTTTACAGGCGCTGCAGTCTGTTGTTTTCATTCATTTGTTCCTTAAAACCACCTCAAGCTGTTTTTGATGCATTTTTTTGTCCTATTAAAGATAAATTCTGTGAATGTTGACTGAAAATGAAGCATGTGAGGTGAATAAAATAATAAAAAGACAACTGGTGGACCTGGCGTGGAGCGTTTAATGACTGCGCAGGAATCTTTGCACATCACATCAAACATATAAACTTGAACTTTGGTTCTATTTGCTCATTTATTTCAAGCAGCTGAGAGAAGTTTCTGAACAGATTTTGTTTTAAAGGTGACTTTTCTGCTGTAAACCACTAGATGGTGGAGTGGCTTTATTCTGTTGCAGCATCACATCCACTGGAAGTCATGGTGGGAACAAATGAACAAAGCTGGATTATTGTTTTATTTCTTGTGCACATCTGATTCAGAAGAGTTACTCGTCGTTTTCTGTGTTCCAGGTGTTGAACCTAAGGATGATGTGCTCGTCTGCTTTAGGCATGTAGCAGCCAATTCCTGCAAAATTAAAAATAAACAATAATGAGGGAAATGCCACTTCCTGTGAAGATTCAACATGAATGCTTGTTGATTTCTGCTGAAAGCTGCTGAAAAGGTTTAATCTCTAAACTGTTTATTGAAGCTGAATGTGGACAGCTGACCTTTGCTAAAAACAGGAAAATTAAAGACGAAAGCAACATACTAGATTACAGGAAAATCTGAAAGTAGAGAGAAGAAAACAGAAGTTGCTGAAATAAGCTGTTTTTTTAGGTTTAAATGTAGCTGAAAAGGCTCAAATTAACAGAAAGAGGCTGAAAGGAGCATAAAAAGTTCAAATTATTAGAAAAGAGCACAAAAGCAAAAATGGAAAATTTAAAAACGAGCAGAAAATACATTTGAAAAAGTAGACGAAATGCTTAATTTAGCAGAAAGGAACAGAAAAATAGCTGAAAAAATGCTGAGCTAAAAGGTGAAAAGAGCAGTAAAAGGTCCTAAACGGCTCGAAAGGATTGAAGGATTCGAGCGCTCCGTTCATTTTCAAAGAGAAAAACATGGCAGACAAAGCCAAATGTTTCAAAAAGTAAAAATTGCACAGAAACTAAAAGACCCAGCAGGAATGTCCTGAACGAGTCGAACGTTTTGAAACATGAATTATTGAGATAAAACAAAAACCGAGGAACGAGTTACGAGCCGAAGAACGTACGGAAGAAAAACTGATCTGAATATTGAGAATGATTCAGAAACGTTCAGACCTGCTGCTGGGTCATGTAGGCTCAGTGGTTAGCACTGTTGCCTCACAGCAAGAAGGTCCTGGGTTCAATCCCCGGTTGGACCTGGGGTCCTTCTGTGTGGAGTTTGCATGTTCTTCTCGTGCTTGTGTGGGTTTTCTCCGGGTACTCCGGTTTCCTCCCACA